AGAGAGAGAGAGAGAGAGAGAGAGAAACTTTAATATTTATTTTTTAGTTTTCGGCGGACACAGCATCTTTGTTTGTATGTGGTGCTGAGGATCAAACCCGGGCTGCACGCATGCCAGGCGAGTGCGCTACCTCTTGAGCCACATCCCCAGCCCACTACCTCCTCTCTAAAGTGGACTATACCCTATTGCATAGAAGGATTCTTGGGGGAGGACATTGAAAAGACTTGGACTTTGGGGAGAATGAGCAAGATTAAACAGGTTGGGGAAAGTGCCCAGAGAAGAGGGACTTTGATAAAAACTTGAAGGAGGTGAGATATCATGTATGTATCTGTGGAACTCCCGAGGAAAAAGCCAGGGCAAAGGCCCTGATGTAAGAGTGTACTTGATGCGTACAAGGAGGCTGGTGTGGTTAGGGTGGAGTGAATGAGAAGAAGAGGGTTAGGAGCTGAGACCGAAAAGGCACTAGTGGGGTTAGACCATGCATGACCTTGTAGGTCATGGTAAGGACCTTGGCTTTTACATTTAGTGAGAGAGAACAATGGGAGGCTTGTGAGCAAAGGAGAGACATAAACTGTTTTAGGATTTAACAGAATGCCTTGGAATGCTAAACATAGAATGGAGTGCTGGGGTCGAGGGTGGAGGCAGAAGAATCAGCAAGGAGGAAGATACTACAGTAGTCTAGGTGACTGGTGACAGTGCTCGCAGTGAAGGAGGAGGTGAGAGGGTGGATTAGGGAAATATTTTGAATAAAGAACCCACAGAATTTGCTGAAGAATGAGAGTCTTGGGGCCAGACCAGGACATAGCTGATGCTCAAAATGCATGGGTAGGAATGGCGTCTCTGGACTTCTTGCCAGTTTGAACTTTTAGGTGAGGAAATAAAATTTTATTTGTTTAAGATCTAATGATGTTTCTGCAACTTGTAGATTACATATTCTTTCCTGACCCATGACCCCATCCTGGACTCTAAGACCTAAAGAGAAGAGAGGATGCTGGGGGGAATTGCCTCCCTCCTAGGGATGCTGTACTAGATGAGACAACGGCATGATCATAACCTGGCATACAGTAGGTGCTTGATAAATCCTCCCAGGGAGGAGGGGGAATATATGCATGTATATATTCAGTTGACAGAGGCTACAGTTCAGTAGGAGATAAGACCTCAAAGGGAGAGTGAAAACAGTTCGGTAGATAGAAGCAGCAGAAGGAATAGTAGTCTTGGGTGGAAGAAATAGTAGGAGCAGAGATTTGAACAAAAGGAAGGAAGGTGAGGCCACTTAAGAGGTGTTGAGTATCACAGTTGGCAAGAAAGGCAGGGCTTTGATTTGTGGTTATATTAGCCAGTGTCTATCAATATGCCCAATTGACTCCTGGTAGCATAGAGTCAAGCTCAGCATTGCTGAAGTGAGAAAAAGCTAATCTTTCAAAAATTTCCATTTTCCATTTGGGCATTCATTCAGCAGTGGTGCAAAATCTTGGAGACTGCTAATGATCAATCTGGGACATTAACGAATAATCAGGGGCATTCTTGGCTAGTGAGTGGGGTTCAAAGCAAAGCCTGGGAGGTAGGCGTGTGGGGGGAAATCCTTTTTGATTTCTTTGGTCTCACACTAAGGTGCTGTCTAGGCCTTCAGTCTCTCTGGGCATTTCCAGGACAATGGGGAGTCCTGGAAGGTTAGGGCGAAAGGAAAATCTATGTCCCCCAGAGGCATACCCTTTCTATTGGATGCCTGCATTCTATGGTTCTGCTGCTAGACCACCCAACAGCTCAGGCTCTGCCTAAGCATTAGCCCCCTCTCTAGATTCCTTATTGGCTACTCTTGCCTTCCTTCGCACCATCTGCCCCGCCCCTATTGGCTCTGCTCTTTCCTCTTGCCGCTACACTATCTAGCTTTGGTATTGGTCAATCCCACGCTAGCACTGCCCTTTGAGTTCTCACTGGCTTCCCTCTGCCCGCCCCGCCCCCCGCCACTGGCTATCTGCCATCTCTCTTCCTTGCCCCAGTCTTCATCCCCATCCCCATTGGCTTTGCCCTGCTCGGTCCCACCTCTGTGGTGGCTCACACACCCCCTCGTGGTCTCCTTTTGGTCTCTGCATTGGCTAGTTCCGCCCTGGCTCCTCCCCTTGAAGCCATAGAGCAGGCTTACAAGACTTTGCACTGGCTCACTTCGGCTATTATCGTCATCTTGCCTTTACATCACCTCTGCGCGTCTCCTCATAGGCTGTTCTGTTTCTGTCTTACGTCCCACTATCTACGCAACCCGCGGATCTCCCACTTTTCGGACCTGTGGGTTAGCTCCCTTATTCCCCCATCGCCTGAAGCCATTCCACCTCCCCGCTGCCCACAATGCCGCTCCCATTCAGACTTCCCTATTAGCTGTCCTACTCCTGCTCTCGGCCTCCTGGGCCCGCACCACCCCCATTCCCACCTCCCCATTGATTTCCCCATCATCCCGCCTCCCACACCGCCCACTCTCCGGCATCCCCATTGGCTGTGCCCTTCTCCTGCTCGCCATTCACCACCTACGTCATCCGTGCGCGGCTTCCCATTGGCTCTCTGCTACACCTGTCTTCATTTCGCCGCCTACGCTCCCCGTGAGCTGTACCCCCCCGCACTGGCCTTCCCATTGGCTGTCGGCCCCTTCAGG